ACGACCCCCCGGACTACAGGACCACCCCCCAGACGTCTGCAGGGTTCCTCCCCTCTCCAGACTACAGCATCCCCCCCCCCGAACTGAAGGACCCCTGACCCCCAGGCTACATGCCGCCTCCCCCTCCCTGGGCTGAAGGGCCTCCCCACACCTGGCGGACGACTGGTAACCCCCTGGACTATCAAGGTGGTGTCACAATTCGCCCACAACATAGAAAACAACATCTCCTCCCCATCCCGCAAAGTGGATGGGGTCGGCCCTTTCCCCTGGTCGTCGTCCTCCCTCCTCTCTCCCTTCTCCAGGCCCAAGCTGCAGCCGCAACCGTCTTGAACCCCTTTCGGCACGACTCGGCCTCTCGGCTCGGGCCCATGCGCGCTACCACAGCGGGCCGGGGCCAAGCCCGCACGCGTAGCCGCGACTGGTAGGTGAACTTCGGCCTCGCGTCCGTGCTCGTGTCCACGACCACGGGCATGTACTGCATCGCCAGTGGGAGGTTGTACCCCATGGCCCCAGCGCGCGCGCATCCTGCAGTGAAGGGGTCCGACGCGGGACATACTGTCGTCGCATACATGTCGGCATCCACGGGGTGCGTACGGAACACATGGCCGAGGCGACGGCGAAGCTCAGCCTCGAGCACCGCTTTCCTCCTCCAGTAGCTTCTCGCCGCTGGAAGTCCTGGTCATGTGCATTGCGCCCGCGCCCGACGCCGACGCCGACCGCCCGTTCGTGATGGGCAGGCACGGTAGTCCGGCAGCTGAGGGCCAGCCTCTGGCGACAGCCGCCAGCCACTCACTCCGCTGGTGAGGGCAAGCGCAGTTACTGGCGCAGAGCCTTGAGCGCTCCGTCATGGTGACCTTCGCCCATGTGCAACCCCTCCGAGGCGCTGATTGTCCCGACGGGTCTTGGCGTCCGTGCAGTCCGCCGACCCCGTGAAGAAGTCCAACGTGCCACACAAGATCTTCTCCGAGGCGTCCCTCACGAAGATGATAGCCACTGGCCTTGCGGTCATGCTCTGCCCGCAGGCACACACCGTGCAACAGGCCATATCCATGCGCGACATCTGGTGGCGCCGAGGGCATCCTGAAGCAATCATTCGCTGTACTTCGCAGGCGGTCGTCCCCCGCTGGAAGGGTCGGTTGTCTCATGGCCTGTATCTACGCTTGTCAGGCTCCCTTGTCGTGGGTCGCCACCATTTGTTGGTCGCCCCCACCTGCTTTCCCTGTATTTTTTGCTCGCCTCCCCGACACCCCTGGATACCCATCCAGTGCACGAATACATGAGGTCACCAAATCAGCTCGCGAGCTATGGTACGAGCTACATTCCAACCATTCTGGCTTGAACCATCTACTTGAATCGCATATTGCTGCATGTGCTGTCTCTCAACAAACTCCCGCGGCATGGGTCGCCCCAATGCAACCGCTTTCTGCTGGCTGTCCCCGTTTGGCTTCCACCTTGCTGCCCTGCTCTGTAACATCTTGTACTTACGTGTCCTCTGTGGTCCCAGTGCTCACGTCCCCTCTTTGTGGGAAGCTGGGCTGTCATCGTGCACTAGAAGGCCTTCTGACAAATGCCCTCCCTATTGCATTCTTGACGCCATCTCAGAGGACCCGTTTCTCGCTAGCGGTCTATGTGTTCTGACCTCGCTTGCTTGAGGGCCTAGAACTGCTGATCTCACAATGTCGGTACCCTGCTTACCTACAGGCTGCGCTCTAACAAAGATCCAGCGAATGATGATCCGCCAGTGCATAGATCAGTACAGCTGTTGCAGGCACGTGCCTCCCATCGCTACAGTCTTTGTCTAAACAGACTGACACTGAGCCTTCATGGAAGTTCGAATGCTCGAGTGTGGTCTCACTCCTCCTCCTCCTCCTCCTCCTCATCAACGTCCTCCTGCCCCTCCTCTTCCTCCTCCTTCCTCCTTGTCCGCGTCCTGTCGCTTTCGCAGTAGGCCCTTGTCCGCGTTGTCCGCTGCTGGTTAGCCCAACCCCAGCCAACACCAACGAGGTCAGGAGGGACTCCTCCTCCTCCTCCTCCACATGGTCATCAGCATCATCATCATCATCATCATCATCATCATCATCATCATCATCAGCAGCAGCAGCATCATCATCATCAACATCATCATGCCATCATACCATCTTACTATAATCAGCACCATCATCATCAGCATCATCAGCAGCATCAGCATCAGCATCACCATCCTCATCACCACCACCACCACCAGCATCAGCATCATCAGCATCATCAGCATCATCAGCATCAACACCAGCATCAGCATAATCACCATCATAATCATCATCATCATCAGCATCACCAGCTTCAGCATACTCATCATCATCAAAATCGCCATCATCATCATAATCATAATCAGCAGCATCATCATCAGCATCAGCATCAGCATCGTCATCACCAGCTGTACCATAGTGTTCACCATCATGCTCATCAGAATAACAACCACCACCAACATCATCACCACCGCCACCATCGCCATCACCACCATCATCATCACCACCATCATTGCCATCATCACCATCATCATCACCACCGCTATCACCACCACCACCATCATCATCAGCATCACCACCACCATCATCATCATCATCAGCATCACCACAACCACCATCATCACCACAACCACCACCATCACCACCACCATCATCATCATCATCATCATCATCAGCAGCAGTCGCATCAGCATCAGCATCAGCATCAGCATCAGCATCAGCATCGCCAACATCACCGTTAGCATCAGCATCAGCATCATCATAATCATCCGTATCATCATAACCATAATCCTAATCAGCATCATCAGCAGCATTATCTGTATCATGATCATCATGATCGTCATCATCAGCAGCATCATCAGCATCGCCATCATCAGCACCACCATTATCATTGTCGTCGTCGCTGTCGTAGTCGTCTTCGTCGTCGTCGCCGCCGCCGTCGTCGTCGTCGTCGTCGTCGTCGTCGTCGTCGTCATCACCATACCCGTTGTGGCGAGCGGGCTAAGCGTTCGGGCTCTCCCCTCACTAGGGCAAAGGCACATCGAATAGAGGATCGAATGGCGCAGTAAGCAAAGCTTCTTCGAACGACGTGTCGACAGGCCGCGCGCGATGCCCCCACGCCTCCTCCCTAGTCCTCTCTCTTCTCCTCCTCCTCCTCCTTCTCTCCTCCTCGTCCTCTCTCCTCCTCGTTCTCTCCTCCTCCTTCTCTCCTCCTCCTACTCCTCGTTCTGCCCTCCTCCTTCTCTCCTCCTCGTTTGTCCCCCTCCTCCTCCTCTCCTCCTGGCTCTTGGGGTGGGGGTTGGCGGGGGAGTAGGGGGCGTGGCATTGGGAAGCGGCCGCCCGCTCCCTTCGAACGGCGGTCTCTCGCAGAGCGTGAACACTAAGCGTTAGCAGAATACAGCGAACATTAGACTCGATAAATTCAAAAGGCGCGCGGGGCGACTGGCGACTGCCGGCGGAGGCGCCTCCCTGCATCCACCCAGTCGAGCCCGCCCCTGCCCAGTCTCCACCAGACGGGCACGAGGACTTCTTTCTAAGGAAACGGGATAGAGGAGGAGGAGGACGAGGAGGAGGAGGAGGACGAGGAGGAGGAGGAGGAGGAGGAGGAGGAGGAGGAGGAGGGGGAGAGAGGAGGAGGAGACTTTTGATCTGCAGGGCGAGAGCGAACCTCTTCCGCTGAAAGCTAAGCGGGACGCGCACAGCTTTAATTAGCAGAGAAAGGGCGGAAGAAGGCGGGGCCTCACGCGGTCAGGAGAGGGCGAAGCCCAGGGATCAGGCGGTGCCGAAGTGGACGTGCAGGAAAAGGTACACCTAGAGGAGGAGGAGGCGGAGACAGGAGGGGGCAGGAAGGACGAGGAGCAAGGCGGAAGGTGAAGGGGAAGAAGGAGGAAGGTCTGAGTGAGGGAGCGGGGAGGACGGGGGATATACGAACCGGTGTTGGGGGGGCACCGAGCTACCGATGACGCCAATCCCCAGAACTCTTCTGGGGTGCACTCTGACAAAGCATTTCGACGAGAACCAAGCCGTGGTGATGATGAGGGCTCTCCAGGACGAGCAGCGGCATCGGTATCGTTTCGTCCTCTCTGGTGTGGCCTCAGGCTGGGCCCGGATACCTGCGGACGCTGGGTCCCCGGCCAGGTCGGGCCACCACATCCACCAAGATCTGCACCCGACGTGGGCCTGTGGCCGCCTGCCGGCGGTGCCCTCCGCGCTCGGAACAGCACCGCCTCGCGCTCCGCGCTGCGCGAGGTGCGGTCCTGCGTCCTGCGCACGCCCTCGCGCCGCCCCGCCCGGACCGCGCACCTCTGGGCGACCCGCCCCCAGTCTTGGGCATGTCCTCCACCATGGGGATTTTGGACGAACGGTGAAAATTAGTAAAACATTCTCGAGAATAGTCGAAACTATTTGAACAATCGTCGCCAGACTATGTTTTGGCTATTTTTGAATATTCCCCCTGTAGATGGACAGACCCGACTGAGCCCCAGTCGAGGCAGACATGCGCTCAGTCCTCGGAGCCCTCCACGGTTCCATGTTGGTGACCAAAACCTACAGAAACGCACAAAAAGTCGACGACGGCCAAAATTCGAGCTGGATTTCACGGTGCACGGACCTCCGGAATCGGACTGTTGTTCGCCACGTGGACCCTCATAAGTCTGAGCCGTACCTTGACGGCCCTCTGGGCCGGCAAGTGCCGAACAGCAGATGTAGTGTGCATTCGCATACATGTATATGAATGCATGCATGCATCGATGTAAACAAAACGCTGCTAACCTGCCAACGCTCGGACGTCGATTCCCCGTGAATTGTTCGGTGGTGTGAGGGTGCTCGTCGATGGTCCTCGCAGAGAAAGCATGCACACGCCCGAGCGATGGCAAGAATGAGTTTCCGACGCGACGTTTCACGACGCGAGGCGGTCTGAGAGGATCGAGCTCGGTCTGCCGGTGGCGCGCGGCGAGGGCCTCCCCGAGTGGCCCGAGGGCAGGCGGGCGCGGGCGCTCAGCTCCCTCCAAGGGGCGACTGGGGCATGCGCCAGAGCACCTGCCGCGCGGATCGCCGAGCGGGCGGGGAGGGGGGACAGGAGGCCACGAGTTAATGGTAGGAGCGATAAATGAGGGGGGGGAGGGGGGGGCACAAAGGTGCCCTTGTCGGGCTGGGGCCCTCAAGGCCCCCGTCTGGGCCCGAAGGGGTCCCAGGGCTCCTGTTCGGCAGCCCTCGCTGCCCCCCCCCCATTGATCGCCCCCCATCACGCGTCCTCCGAGCGGGCAGGGGGGAAGCCCGCCAGAGGCGCGCGGGGACACACGCGCCCGGAACGCACGCCCAGGACGCACTCCAGAGCGCCCCCCCGTCGTGAGCACGCCACGACGCGCGCCCACGGCACACTCCACTCAGTCACGAGTGCCCCGTCGAGGGTACGCGTTGTGACGCGTCCCCTCACCCCGACCCCTCCACACCAGGGTGCGACGACAACCTCGAAGCAAGTGCAGCAAGTGTCGGAGCGGCCGGTCTTTCCTGTCAAGCAGGCCGCTGGCTTTCCTGAGAGGTGCCGGTCTCGTCACGCCATTGTCAGTCACTGAAACATTTTGAGCGAAACCGATCCCCCGTCCATCATCCTCCTTCTCCTCCTCCTCCTCAAGCTCCTCATCCTCATCCTTCTTCTCACTCTCATCTGCGCCTCCCACCACCCCCTCCTTCCGTCGTCATCCCTTCCTCCCCCCCCCTCTTCCTCCTCCTCCTCCTCCGCCTCCTTCTACGCCTCCTGCCCCCCCTCCTTCCGAGGTGAAGGTCTCTAAAAGTCCCTGGAAGCCCCAAGAGGCATCTGGCGGCCCGAAAAAAGACCCAACCAAGCAAGATCATCGATCCTCTTCCCCCTTCTCCACTTCCACCCCTCTTCCTTATAAGAAATCCTCCATTCCCTGTTGTAGCACAAGCATGTCGTTCGGGCGGGCCGAGCGCTTCGCCTGAGAGGTCTCCACATTGCATGATCTCCAAGCCTGATCTCCAATAGATATACGGATGGGGCACAGGTCGTTTTCAACATGGGGCGCTCGCCTTGGCGCTGCTTGCGCTCGTCTGAGCAGCAAAAAAAACAGATAGCTACACGAGGGGAGAGGGTCTATTTCAAAATGGGGCTCCCGCCTTGGCGCCGCGCTCATTCGCCGTGCAGGTCGGCAACAACGGTGCGGATGGAGGGTAGCGTGCTGTCAGAGTGGGGCCCTCGCCTCAGCACCGCCCGCGTCGGTCTTTACAACTTGAAGCACTTACACGGATGGAGGGCGGCGCGCGATCACAGTGGGGTTCCCGCTTGAAACTTCTTATAACTCCATGGCACGACGCCCGAAGTTCAAACATGAGCAACAGCTGGCCAGATAGATAGCGGTTATTCTTGTTCAGTGGGGCTCTTGCATGAGACTTCTGATCAACGTGTGGCAAGAAGTGTGAACTTGTGCCAGGCTCACACGTTTGATGGGTAGACACTTTTCATGCCGAGGCTAACGCTGGACACGTCCATAAACTGTACGGCCCTTCCGCTTTGCAATTATCATTTGGAATGAAGGCAGGACGTTCAAAAACAAACCGGGGTATCACCTGTATGGCAGGCCACTGTGCCTTCGTCAAGTGGGGGCGCTTCCTGCGGTGGAATAACTTTTCTGAGGAGGGGACCTTGGACAGAGGGTGTGTTGCAACAGCGTTGGTGCGTCCTGGGCTTTGCTCTGGCCTCTCGAGCTTCGAGCTGCGGGCATTGTTGAGCGATCGCCCCGATGCCCTCGATCCTTCCTCCCAGCCTGGTGCTGGGGGGGGGGGCACATGAAACCGAGGTGGCGGGAGAAGAAGCGGGAAGACAACACAAATGCTGAACTGATGCCGTGCTCAATAGCATGGGGGGAACGGGTGTTGGGGGAGACTGGTACCCTGGCGCCTTCCTCCAAGAGGAAATCTTTATCCCGAGCCGTTTTCTGACAGTCCCGGGGCCCGTGGAGGGCCCCGACAGCCCGAAAACGCGGAAAAATCTGGGGAGCTGTTTCTAGGGGAACGAAGAATGACAGAAACACAAAAACTCAGAGGGTCCTCGCGGACTTCTGGGATCGGCGCTGGACCCCCCTTGCTGGCGCGCGGATCGCCTCCAGGGGGCCCCAGCGCAAATCCGAGAAATCCGAGCGGACCTCAGAAGTTCTATGTTTATGTCCGTGTTCGCTCCCCTAGAAAAACCTCATGACCCTTTTCCCTCAGGAACCGTTGTCCCCCCGTGGCGACTCGGGGCCTTCCCAAAATGCGCGCCTGGAAGCTCTCCACGTCCTTCAGAAGCTCTCTCCAGATCCTTCTTGAAATCTTCGGAAAGCCTGTCCACGCCCGTCTGGCGCCCTGCTATCCGGGTTTTGGACGCCACACATTTCCCTGAAGATCCGTGTTCCCCCAAGGGCGACTCCGGGCCTTCTCTGGGAAGCCCTTGTCCACGAGGCACACGGCCGGAAGGGGCGACTTGACGCCCACCTGCATGCCGCCGAGCAGCTTGGGGCCCGGCGAGAGCACCTGGGCGCTGAGCGCGGGGAGGGGCAGAGTGGGCCAGCATCGAACCTCTAACGGGAGACATGTCGGCCCCTGTCCCAGGCTTCGCGCGGTTGTCGAAAGGACCAATCATTTGGGGCCCAACCCAATCATTTGGGGCCCAACCCTGGGAGCCACGATGGGGGGGTCGTCCATCCTCGATAGGGCTGCGTGTGGATAGCCCCTGGGGTGTATCCCAGGGTTTCCCCCTTTTTCTCTGAGCGGCCTAACTTTTCGGGCGGAACTCCGGGATTGGGGAAGAAAATCACCTGCGAATCTCGGCGGCGCACACTGGGGGATGCGGGGAAAGGAGGAGGCTTCTTTGCCTGTGCCCATCAATAGTTTTGGGTCCCTGGACTACAGGTACCCCCTGGACTACAGGTAACCCCGCCCCGAGCTACAGGTACCCCTCCCCGGGACCACAGGTACCCCCCCCGACTACAGGAGCCCCCCTGGACTGCAGGTACCCCCCTCGGACTACAGATCCCCCCATAGGACTACATCCACGCGTGCATTGACGAGTGAACACGCGTTCCCCCCCGGACTGCAGGTACTCCCCCTGGACTACAGGTACCCTTCCCCCAGACTCCAGGTACCCCACCAAGGACTACTTGTACCCTCCCCCCCGGACTACAGGTACCACTCCCCCAGACTACAGGCACCCTCCCCAGACTACAGGTACCCCCAGAACTATTGAGGGACACAGAGTGGAAGGAGGCTGCCTCTTAGAAAGCGCCGGCCCTACATCCACAGACAAGGGCCGCGCCTGCGAAGAAGCAGGGGTGCTCCTAAGAGGCCTTCCCCCCTCCCCCTACCCCCCCTCTGCGCGTGTCCGAGAATCGGAAGTGGGATCGGATCGGAGTGCGCGTCGGGTCGGGCCGCATCGCCACGGAATCCGAATCTGATCAGATCCGACGCGCCAGGATGCGCTGCGCAACCGTGCGTAGGCCTCGGGACGCATCGGGACGTCGAGATCTCAGATTCGAACAGGACCGAGCCAATCGAAATCGTAATCGAATCGATCGGGTCGGATTGGACCCTGGAGGGTGAGGACGGATGCAGGGGGGGCGGGGTGCGCCCCGCGCTCCCGAGGGATGAGGTGCTGAGGCCGTCTCCAGATCCGGTACCCTTTTGGGGGTGCTGTCGAGGAAGGCCTGCGGTATCTCTGTGGGCTGTATGCGCGCAGTCTGGAGAGAGGAAGGCGAATGGAGGAGGGTCGGGTATCGAGGTGGTTCGGCGTCTTCATCTATTTCTGAGCCTCTGGGAACCTCCAAGCCAGGGAGGAACCAGGAAGCGGAGGAGGCAGACGAACATGATCGAGGATGAAGACGGAGGAGGGGGGGAGAGGATCACTGGTCTGATATTCAAATTCAAAACATCTGAACATCTGACGTATGCCATGTATCGTGCGCCGTGCTCCCTCTCTGGAAGGACAAGAGAGCAGCAGCATGAAGAACAGGAGCATGGGGAGGATCCGGGCGATGGGAAGCCAAAGAAAGAAAAGGGAATGTGATTATACAGGCAAGGAAAGACACGTTAACATGACGACAATAGGGAGGCCGTAGGGAGGAGCAGGATGCGGGGACAGAGGGAGGATGAGCAAGATGAGGAGATGTAGAACATCAGGTGACGGGACGATGATGGAAGAGCAAAGAAAAATGATTTTGACATGCTAGGAAAAAATGGGGGATACCGTGACAAGAAGCGGTGGAAAGATATGGGAGAGTGACAGAGAAGGCACAACGAATACACGTAAAAACGAGGAGGCGCGACGAAAACAACATGGGGAGAGGACGACACCAGACGGGGAGATAGGAGAGGGAGCTGGTGAAGAAAATGTAGTGAATGGGCTGGCGGGTGCAGGGGAGGACAAGGAGAGGAGACAAGGGTAATCTAGGCGCGCTGGCGCCTTCTCTGATCCCTTTGCCCCCCGTTCCCACGCACGCCTCCATCCTTTTCATAACGCAGAATCACGATGTGTCCGTGGGTTATCCGAAATGATTTTGGTCCCCCAAACGATCCCATCGTGCGACCCGCAATCCGACAGGGGGGGGCGTTGTACTGTGGAGGGGGAAACGGTGGCGGATGAACAGCGGGATGAGCAGGACGAGTCGGATGATGACGATGGCGCGGACGATGATGATGGGGATGATGCTGAAGATGACGATGATGATGAAGATGATGATGGTGATGCTGATGGCGGTGGCGGTAATGCTGATGATGACCATTCATCACTCATACCCCACATGAGACCCCTGGACAGCACGCGCGCAACGTAGTGAATGGCAAACCCTGGGACGCAGGCCACTTGGCCACCAAAGGCCTATGGCCAACAAGCTCAATGTCTCTACGCACAACGCCAGCAAGTACAACCAAAAATACGTGGGATTATATGGCACTGGCCTCCTGGGCGCAGTCCGTCCCATACAGCCAAGAGGCTCCCACAAGAGAAAAGCGCTCGGGGCCCTCGGGGACTGACCCCAAGACGCCACCCACGTCATGCGAGGTGGTCAGCACAACAATCTAGCACATACTAGTGGAACTGATGAACCGACTGGAACTTTCGCGTTGAGGTAGCATGAAACGAATGCGTTCGCACGGTGGGGCGATAACAAATATTCACGAGAACTGGTGCCCCGCCACAAGCGCAACGTCGCGGCAATGCGGCTTAAGAGGCTGATGATCTGCATAATGACGCTCAGACACTTGAAAGTTTGGGAAAACCATACGAAACCGAATAAGGAGAGACGAACAACGAACAACACAAGATATCAATACCATTCGGTTGCAAGCAAACATTGCAGTGCCCGTATGGAATAAAAGAAGAAGACATTGATGACGTCGGCCGTTCTCCTGCTGCTTTTCTGCCTCCTCCTGTTCCTCTGGCGGGCCAGGCCTCTTCTAGAAACACGTCCTCTGGCTTCGCGGGTGAAGCAAGCTCTCCCAGCGACGAGCTTGGCATTGAAGACCGTCCCGGGGATCTCGGGGACACCTGGGCGGAGGCGTTATTCCCCTGCCTGCACCATCTTGTCTGTGTCCCTCCCACATTCATGGACTGGACAAGAACGGCAGCGCCGATCTTGTCCATTCGGCTCGTAGGGGGCACAGAACAATTATCCTGGCAAGGCCTGACCATATGCAGTTGCGAATGTCGCATTTGTGGGTGTTTTTTTTTTTTTTTTTTTTTTTTTTTTTTTTTTTCCGGCGGCGCTCCGTATGGGGCCACGAACTGCCTGAGGGGCGTGCCGAAAAGGTGTAGCGGGGCGCACGACGCGAACGACAAGAACACTCTGAGTGTGAGAGACTGAACGCGGGTGAGTCTGAGCGCGAGTAAGTCTGATTGTGGATGAGTCTGCGTGCGAGTGAGTCTATTTGCATGAATGTGAACATGGACGCGCCTAGTGTAAAAGTATATGACTGTGAATGGTTTGGGTCTGCTCGGCTCTGAACACTCGCGACACTAAGCGTGGCCGCCGCAAGAGGCTTCCCCGGGAATCCCGACGGCAACGCCCACGCGCCGCGACGCCTACGTCGGCGCGCCCCCCGTGAGGATCGCGAACGGTTCCTTCCCTTCTTTTCCCCCCTCTTTGCCCGCGCGCTCCAGAGTCCAAGGCCGCGGGCGCAGCGCAGCACGGAGTCCCCGCGACGCGCGCAGGTCGCCCCGGAGGGGTCCCAGCGACGCGCGCGGGTCGTGCGCGGCGCGGAACAAGAAGGGCTAGCTGGTTGGCTGATAGCGGGCAAGGTTTTGGCCACTGAGCGGAGCGACGACGGGCGAGCGAGACGCTGGGCAGAGCGCGGCGCGGAGTTCCCGCGACGCGCGCCGGTCGCCCCGAAAGGGCCCCAGCGACGCGCGCGGGTCGTCCTCGGCGCGAGGGGGGCCGAGCAATAGTTGGGCAATCGAAAGGAGGCGCGGCTCGGGCGGGACGCCCCTCAGGTTAGGCCACGCGGATAAACTCGGTGAAGCCGAGCTTCCGGGCGAGGGCCGTCGCCTCCCTCCTGCGCCGGTTCGTGCGCGCAGCGCTCTTGCACTCCCGCCCGAACGGGGTGGATCCCCGGCGCGTCCACGGCCGCTGGCCCGCAGGCCGCGGGGCGATCCGGAGCTGCCGCTGGACGCAGACGACGACGGCGACGACGACATCCACGAGACCACTCCTCCACCGCTCGTTTACGGCGGCCACAGCGAGAACACCGGAAAGACTCTCGCTGGTGGAATGGAACCTCACGCGACTGCAAGGCAAAATGCTGCGAGAAATAATGAACGCCTCCTCCTCCTCCTCCTCCTCCTAATCCTCCTCCTCCTCCTCCTCCTCCTCCTCCCCCTGTTCCTCCTCCTCCGCCTCCTCCCCAGAGGTCTGGAGACGTTGCATGCGGGCGGTGGCACTGGGGCCTCCAATGGAGCTCCCTATAGGGCCACGAAGCGTGTGACAGGTGTGCCAAACTGGGTGTGGGGGACGCACGCGGGCGGTGGCATTGGGGCCTTCGGTGGAGCTCCCTACGGGATCACGGAACGTGTGAGAAGTGTACCGAAGTAGGTGTGGCACGCGGGCGGTGGCACTGGGGCCTTCGGTGGAGCTCCCCATGGGGCCACGAAACTTGGGAGGGGTGTGCCGAAATGGATGTGGGTTACGCATGCGGGCTGTAGCACGGGGCTTTCGGTGGAGCTCCACGAAGCGTGTGAGGGGTGTGCCAAAGTGGGTGTGGGGGACGCATGCGGGCGGTCCCACTGGGAGCTTCGGTGGAAACCCTTATGTGGCCACGAAACGTGTGAAGGGTGTGCCAAATTGAGCGTGGGAGGCGCATGCGGGCGGTCCCACTGGGGCCCTTCGGTGGAAGTCCCTATGGGGCCACGAAGCGTGTCAGGGGTGTGTCAACGTGGGCTTGGGGGGCGCATGCGGGCGGTCCCACTGGGGGCTTCGGTGAAGCTCCCTATGGGGACATGTGATGGGTATGCCGGATAGGGTGTGGAGGTGGGGGGGGGGCGCACGCGGGCGGTGGTATTGTGGCCTTCGGTGGAGCTCCATATGGGGCCACGAAACATGTGAGGAGTGTGCAAAATTGGGTGTGGGGGGCGCATGCGGGCGGTGGCACTGGGGCCTTCGCTGGAGCTCCCTATGGCGCCACGAAGCGTGTGAGGGGTGTGCCAAAGTGGGTGTGGGGGACGCGTGCGGGCGGTGGCACCGGGGCCTTCGTTGGAGCTCCCTATGGGACCACAAAGCGTGTTAGGGGTGTGCCGAAGTGGGTGTGGGTGACGCATTCGGGCGGTGGCACTGGGGTCTTCGGTGGAGTTCCTTATGGGGCCACGAAGCGTGTGAAGGGTATGCCAAATTGGCTGTGGGGGACGCATGCGGGCAGTCCCATTGGGGCATTCGGTGGAGCTCCCTATGGGGCCACGAAACGTGTAAGGGTTGTGCAAAATTGGGCGTGTGACGCATGCGGGCGGTGGCACTGGGGCCTTTCTGGAGCTCCCTATGGGACCACGAAGCGTGTGAGGGGTGTGCCGAAGTGGGTGTGGGTGACGCATTCGAGCGGTGGCACTGGGGTCTTCGGTGGAGCTTCCTATGGAGCCTCGAAGCGTGTGAGGGGTGTGACGAAATGGGCGTGGGTGACGCATGCGGGCGGTGGCACTGGGGCCTTCGGTGAAGCTCCCTATGGGGCCACGAAACGTGTGATAATGTAACGAAGTGGGTGTGGGTGACGCATGCGGGCAGTGGCACTGGCGCTTTCAGTGGAGCTCTCTATGGGGCCACGAAACATGATATGGGGTGTGACTACTTGGGTGCGGGTGCCACATGTGGGTGGTGGCACTGGGGCCTTCAGTGGAGCTCCCTATGGGACCACGAAGCGCGTGGTGTGTGTGTGTGCCAAAATGAGCGTGTGTGACGCATGCGGGCGGTGGCACGAGGGCCTTCGTTGAAGCTCCCTATGGGGCCACGAAACGTGAGTGAGGTGTGCAAAATTGGGTTTGGGGGGCGCATGCGGGCGGTGGCACTGTGGCCTTCGCTGGAGGTTCCTATGTGGCCACGAAGCGTGTAAGGGGTGTGCCGAAATGGGTGTGGGTGACGCATGCGGGCGGTGGCACTGGGGCCTTCGTTGGAGCTACCTATGGGGCCACGAAGCGTGTGAGGGGTGTGACGACATGGGTGTGTGTGACGCATGCGGGCGGTGGCACTGGGGCCTTCAGTGAAGCCCCCTATTGGCCACGAAACGTGTGAGGGATGTGACGAAATGGGCGTGGGTGACGCATGCGGGCGGTGGCACTGGGGCCTTCGGTGAAGCTCCCTATGGGGCCACGAAACGTGTGATAATGTAACGAAGTGGGTGTGGGTGACGCATGCGGGCGGTGGCACTGGTGCCTTCGTTGGAGCTCTCTATGGGGCCACGAAACATGATATGGGGTGTGACTACATGGGTGCGGGTGGCACATGTGGGCGGTGGCACTGGCGCCTTCGTTGGAGCTCCCTGTGGGGCCACGAAGCGTGTGGTGTGTGTGTGTGTGTGTGCCAAAATGAGCGTGTGTGACGCATGCGGGCGGTGGCACGAGGGCTTTCGTTGAAGCTACCTATGGGGCCACGAAACGTGAATGGGGTGTGCAAAATTGGGTTTGGGGGGCGCATGCGGGCGGTGGCACTGTGGCCTTCGCTGGAGGTTCCTATGGGGCCACGAAGCGTGTGAGGGGTGTGCCGAAATGGGTGTGGGTGACGCATGCGGGCGGTGGCACTGGGGCCTTCGTTGGAGCTCCCTATGGGGACACGAAGCGTGTGAGGGGTGTGACGACATGGGTGTGGGTGACGCATACGAGCGGTGGCACTGGGGCCTTCAGTGAAGCCCCCTATTGGCCACGAAACGTGTGGGGGGTGTGCCAAAATGGGTGTGGGTGACGCATGCGGGCGGTGGCACTGGGGCCTTCGGTGGAGCTCCTTATTGGGCCACGAAGCGCTTGGGTGGGTGAAACGCAGGGAGGAGGGAGGAGGGGGAGGAGGGAGGAGGAAGGAAGGAAAGAAGGAAGGAAGAGACGCGGTGACCGTCCCTTCAAAATGAGAACCCAACACCACAGGATGGTTGGGACAAAAATCAGATCACGTGCTACAACGCGAGACATCGCACTTACTTCGCGCCACTCAGTGTTCCCATGCCGCATGCGCATAGAAATCCTGGAATCAAGCCGCACGGGGGGCTTGAAGCCAGACCTCTCACCCCTGGAGAGCGCGGCAGACCAACGCCTGTTCACAGATACTTTGACAAATTAGCCAAATGCACATATCGTACCAGCATGAGTCATTGGACAGCCTGGGCGATACCATGATCGATGCTTTCGCTGCTGCCGCAGAGTGTCTCCCTCGCGAGGCGGAACGAAGAAAAGAATCATGGGTGAGCAGCGCCACCATGGATCTTATCGCCAAGCGGAACGAAGCAAAACGACAAGGGGATTCAGTGCCAGAATGGCGGCTCAACGGGAAAATCAGGGCAGCGATCCAAATCGACAAGGCATCGAGGCTCGACGGACTGCTGGAGAACAGCGATTGGGACCAGGTGCGCAAGCACCGGAAGCCTCACGGCGCCACACAGGGGCGATTGCGGGACCTGCGTGGTTTTGTTGCATCCTCGGGGGACCTCGTCTGTCCCGCAGCCCTATCAGAATTGAATCCGTGTCGAATCCATGTCGGCCTCGTCGGATCCGTGTCGAATCCGTGTCGAATCCGCGTCGAGTACACGCCAAATGCGCGTCGAAGCCGCATCGAGCCCGCGCCGGGCACAAGAAAAGACACCAATTTTGGAGACAGGCGAGGTCCCCCGAAGATGCAACGCAACTGCGTGGCAGAGAACTTGACAGCGACGAGCGGGCCCAGACGTTGGCCGAAGACTTCGCTGAAGAGCACTGGGCCGTGCGGCCAGTCGCTGCCGTGGACGAACCGGGGACGTGGGGGCTTCCTCCAGCCGTGCAGACCGGCCCGATCACCAAGAAGCAAAAGTGCGCGGCAGCGTGCGCGCTGAAACAGAACTGGTCGGCTGGCAAGAACGAGATCCCCGCCGAGTTTTGGAAGGCAATCTGCAGCGCAGACACGCCAGAAAGCGAGTGGGCGGTTCTGCTTTGCAGTCGGTGTTGGACGGAGGCGTCTGTGCCCGAAGCTTGGCAAGATGCGATTGTCGCGGCCATCTTCAAAACGCAACGCCGAATTTTGCGAGAACTACAAAGCGATGTTCCTCTCGCCCATCGGTTACAAGCTTTACGCCGCGATTTTGCTGGCGCGCTTGAAGGACACGCAGTTCGGGTTTCGGTCTGGGGCCGGAAAGGTCGGCGAACTATTCGTTGCCAGGCGACTAATCGAGGACGCCGTGGACACAGCGTCGGGGAAGCGATTCCTTCTCACCCTCGATTGGGCAAAGGCGTTTAACAGCGTGTCGCCCATTAAACGCTTCCTGAACACCTCGCTGCCGCAGTCTTTCCACGTCCGAGACGCTGGCGCTGACTCCGAGTCTTGGCCGCAAGCGTTCGGCACATCACAGGGATGCCCACTATCACCCTTCTTATGCTCAACAGGGATGACCGTCCTCATGCACGACTCAAGATGGACTTTTGCAGGTCGCGGGCTGGCGCATTCCAACTCTATCCCAATCAGTGATTTCATCTGCGCAAATGACACCCTCATCGCCGGAGCAGAGGAGGAATACGTATGCTGAATGATGAACTGCGTGCGCGCGGCCGGGGGTAAGTGGGTAACTACGGGTTGGGCTTTAATTGGGTCAAACTCGAGGTGCTTTCGGTGGGATGCATGCATATTGCCCGACCAGACGGGGCAGCAATTCCGAACAGGGACAGCATGGTTTACCTTGGTGGGTTGCTGAACGTGTACGGCGGCAGCGGCCGTGAGCTGAGCAGGCGGATCGGCATGCCACATACACAATTCCCCGATGATGAAGGTGCGGATCTTCCAATCGTGCGTCGTTTCTGGTCATTTGTACTGCCTGCACATTTTTCGGCCCAACATATCAGGGCTCCGTAAGCGAGATGCTTTCTCCGAAAAGTGGCCGGCATTGTGCATTCGTTTATCAGTCGCGTCGCGAACGATGAATTCCTGGCCCAGTGTATCTGCCAGAAACTCAGCAACCAATTAGCATACCAACAACTCGTGAGGAAAGTGGCCTCGATACCGAACGACAGTGTTGTCCGAGGTTGCGTTTTCACCCATGTTCTCAATCTGTCGGTCTCGCTTGGGAAGACGCCCAAAACCGCGGCTGGCCGAAGAACACCTGGAAACGGAATGCGTTTGCCATGGCATGCGAGGCGGCCGGCGGCGAGGACAGATAGCTCCAAAGAATGGAGGGCCTCTCGGGGCCTTCGGGTTGGGTTGGGGTGGTTTGGCGGGTGGTGAAAGGAGGGGCACCGCCCGAAAGCATCGGGGGCTGCTAAAGGCGCCCCTGGCCCAAGGTGCCCCCACCTTCTCGCTCCGTTTTGGGGCCCCTGGGGCCCTCTGGGCCTCGTGAGGGGTGCTCTGGAGGCGGTGGGGCCTCCCATTGAAATCCTGGGGGCGCCTCGGGCCAGGGGCCATTCTAGCAACACCCGAAGAGGGTCTCAGAAGTCGACCCCCGGACCCATCCTGGGGCGAAAAGGACCAGCATCTGGAGGCAGATCCGGCCGTGGCGACGAGCCCCCCAGAGGCCCCCCAAAGAACCCCAGGCTTCCAGTTTCCATCCTCGAGCCGGGGGTCTTGGCATAAGAAGGATCGGAAGCGACCAATAAGGAACGCATAAGAAGGGCGGCCACGCGCACGAAACAGCAGGAACTGTCTGCCCCCACCCCAAACCCCCGACGTCGTGATGTTTCACAACGTCGACCCCAAGAGATCTGGACCCTTTCCCGGGACCGGTTTTTCATCCCGAGCCGTGTTTAGACGGCCCCGAGGCCGGGCAGAGGCCCCCAGAAGCCGAAAATAGCGAAAAATTTCCCCGCCGCGACGATTTGCTTCACAGCGCGAGGACGTCTGGGGAGGAAGAAGAGCGAGCGCACGAGACGACCGGCAGGAGCTGCCCGCCCCCCCACCGCGCAGCGGCGGCGGCCGCGGGACGCCTCGCCCGAGGAGGCGGAGCTCGGCGTCGCGGGCGGCGACCGCGGGCTGGATGTGGAGGCCGCGGGCGGCGCGGCCAGGGCGTCCTCTTCGGCGCCGCCGCCGCGGAGGAGCACCTGGTGGGGCGCACGCACAGCGGCGACGGCGGGTCCGCCGCCCGGGCGCACGCTGACACGTTCTGAGAACATTCCTGGAGGCCTCGCGCGGCAATTTGAGACCCGACCCACGTCGGATCCACGTCGGGTTTACATCGGAATTGCGTCCGAGCATCGCCGCGCGAGCGTCGAGCCATAGCTTACGGAGCTGACGTGCGTGCGGTCTGGAGAATACAACTCCACCGATCCGGCGTGTGAGCTTCTGAGAGCGTGAACTTGAGCTCGCTCACGCTTCGCTCTGTAGGGGAGGGGACGCCATTCCCAACGCCGTTCGGTGCTCGGGCTCGGGAGCCGGAGGGGGGAGATCGCTCCGCAAGGGGGGGGTGGGGGGACGCCATTCCCAACGCCATGCAGTGCTCGGGAGCCCGGGGGGGAGGGATCGCTCTGCAAGGGGGGGAGGTGACGAGTGTTCGGGACAAGGGGGGGGGCGCTCGCTCTGCAAAGGAAGGGGAGGGGGGGGCATTCCCGACGCCATTCAGTGCTCAGGCTCCGGGAGGGGGCTTTCGCTCTGCATGGGGGTGGGGGGCGCCATTCCCGACGCCATTCAATGATCGGGAGCTGGGGGAAGGAGGGGTTCGCTCTGAGAGGGGGGGGACGAGTGTTCGGGAGCTGGGGGGGTTCGCTCTGCAAGGGGGGGGGGGGGACGCCATTCCCGACGCCATTCAATGCTCGGGAGCCGGGGGGGGTCGCTCTGCAAGGGGGCGGGGGGGGGGGGCGCCATTCCCGACGCCATTCAGTGTTCGGGAACCCGAGGGGGGGGTCGCTCTGAGAGGGGGGGGCTGAGGTTGTATCTCCGCGCCCTGGAACATGACATTATGTACTGGCTTCCCGCGTGGCGTAGCAGGATGCGTGAGAAACGAGTGTCCATGGTAAGTGGCTGCCAACTCACATGACGAATGCCTGCAATGTTGTTGGTTTTCCAAAGCAAGGGGGCGACTGAGCAACGCTGCTGAGCAGTTCACTGAATGGCAGCATGCGCTTACATTAACACGGACGCGAACAAGACTCAGTCGGCGGGCGCCGCAATCAGTTACGGTGGAAGCGTTGGATGATGAAACCTTAAATGAAACATCCAGGGTCTGGAAGCCATTGGAACTCCAATTATGGATCGAATATGGACCATGTGTATCGCAACTGCCTTCGCCAGGCAAGGAATCATCCAAGGTCTGAGCCATCCTGGGGACATTCCTCAACCAACGCCACCGCCGCAAACTATTGGGAAAACGCTTCGGTTTTGAGTAAAATGAAGCACACGCGCATAAATTCTTGGGGAACACATTGGAAGAGCTCACGGAAAGGCGACGGAAGCAGGCCGCTTGTGCGGGCGGCGCATCACCGCAGCAACCGTTGGCGTCTCGCGCGCAACTTCGGCGCTAGCAGCGACAGGCCGCTTTCGCAGACGGGGCATCGCAGCAGCAGCCGCTGGCCTCCCGCGCATCACTTTGGCACTGGCAAACGAGCGGCCGACGTCAACGCGCGGATTCGCGCGCGCTACCAGGCGCAACTTTGGCGCGATCTGTGGCGGGTACTGGGTAAAGGCGCGCGGCGCCACCTGAAGCAGCTCGCGCTCCTGGCGGCGCTCGGTCAGAGGCAAACTCTCCCTGGCCCAACCTGCCAGAAGCTTGGCAAAGGTGCAAGTCGAACAAACTGCGCGCGCCGCGCTCTGTCTGAATAAAAATATTGCGGGAAATTCGCCGGCCCAACGGGCCAGGGCGTGCTGAGATCTCCGGTAACAGGTACACGGTATTTCTAGTTCGCGCGCGCGGGGCGGCCCCTCGGAGGCGCCAAATATGTGGCAGGCCCAGCAGCCTGAAGCCAAGAGCGCCCCAAGACGGCCCAGATGGCCTCAAGACGGCCCAAGGTGCTCCCAAGACGCCCCAAGACGAGACCTCCCAAGACGCCCCCAACGAGCCAAAAATTATGATTTTGGCGTTCTCGCCTCTTCGGCTTACTAGCGCTCCAAGACGGCCCACAAAGCCCTCAATATCGCCCCAATGCGGCCTGCGAGGGTTCAAGACCGTTCCGAAACGACCCCAGAGATCCCTAAGAGACCCCCAGAAGCCTCCAAGATGGCCCAAGATGCCTCCAAGACGGCTCCAAGACCGGGCCCCAACGGGGGACCGGAACGGACATGTCGCGCTCCAAGCCGCAAGACGTCCCCAGGAGACCTCACGTCGCCCCCAAGAGGCCCCCGAGAGGCCCCAAGAAGCCCCCAACAGGCCCCAAGAAGCCCCCAGGAGACCCAAGGAGGCTCTAGAAATACTGCCAAGAGGCCCTCAAGAGGCTTCAAAGAGGCCCCATAGAGCGCTCGATGGCCGGCGGAATGAGTAAACGCATGTAATTGCATATGGAATGGTTCGGTCCTCGTTGTTCCATGCATCGCCGGAATGCCAGGGTTCCGCGCAATAAGTCCACCCAGGTTCAGGAGGTGCTGGACTGCGCGGGCGACGTTGCACATCGCAAACATCCCAAGGCAGTGGTCTTCTTGCCAATCGTTTTGCCCGCCTCCCGCGGGAACATGTTGCACAAGGCGGCAATGTACTCAACGAAGGAGACGGCGTTGCGGCGCGGTCGCTCGGGGCAGCCTTCCCCCTCGGTCGCCGACATGGCTCTCGCCGCAGAAGCATCCGACAGTGAGGACATCGCATATTCGGGTGTCTGCGAATCCGTTCGCAGCCGCTGCCCACGGTAGCAAGGCTTGCCATCTTCCAAGCCTTTCGAGAACTTCTCGATGCATCGGCGGATGAGACTAGATAGCGGAGTGCGCTTCTCGCCGGATGCCTGCTCGACCTTGAGCGCGATGTGCAGGGGGTCCTTGGAGAGGCATTGCAGCCGCGGCAAAGCGACGCGGAGGGCGGCGCCCTCCAACGGCATGGGCGCATCTGAACAGATCATGCGCACTTGCATCGCGCCGTTCGTGCTGCCGACCGCTTCGAGCAGAGCTTTCTTCGCGTGCGCGAATGCATCCGACGGCGCCGGCGAAACCAAGAGAACCGAGTCCATGCGCTGAACCGACACCTGGGCGTGGACACCGGGCTTTCGTTCACCTCCGGATGCTCCATGCTGCGTCTGGTACAATACCGAAAGCAGGGTTGAGCACTGGCCCGTTAATGCCAATCGCAGTCTCGCCCGCCTCCTCGCGGCACTTCGCAATCATGTTCTCGACGCCGCAGCGTTTCAATTAACCCTCTCCGAAGGTTAAATGGATGCGGGCATCGCATGGAAGAAGATACCGGGTGAAACCTGCTGCGTCCTTCAAGTGCGCCCAAGCTCGCTTCTTGGATCCCTTGGTGTCTGGGTGGGGTAAAGCGGACAGGAACGATACCGAGAAAGCATTGGTGCAGTGGTAATGCTCGCTGACTCGGTGGAACAGCCCTGCGCCCGCGCGTAAAATGAAACGAATGCGATCGCCAGCGTCGAGCAGGAGGACGGTGCGTCGATCGGAGTCAGTCCACCACAGCTGATGCTTGACCTCGTCCCAAGAGGACACTCCTCACACCCGTTCAACATGAACTCTGCGCTGCGCGAAAGCAGCGAGCTCGGCCCATGCCAATCTCCGCTTGTAGTCCAGAAGCTTGCAAGACGCAGGCAAAAATGCACATCATACTCCCGTTTTTTACGGCTACAAAAAGCCCTCGTGGGCGGCGGCTGGCGCATGCAATCGTGTACTCCGCAACAAAAGGAATATTTTTAGAATCCGCCATAAAAAAATAATCCTGTCGGAATCGGCCGAGGATGCTGTACTGGCACGGTGGCGAGACTTGCCGCAGGCAACTCGATAACTTGCACGATTGTCGCCAGCCTTGTGATCATCATCATCAGCATCACCATCAAAATTAGGATGATAATGATGTTGATCATCGTCACCAAGCCTGGATATACAACGTGTCGCAGGTCAGGACATCCGTGATCCCTCGCACATGGACCACCGAGACAGCTGGGCGGGCGCGGTGGCGGGACTTGCCGCAGGCAGCTGGCTATGCGTGACGTGAAGAGGGAGGCGGAGGAGGATCAGCGAGAAGTGATGAATACGAACGGTTTTCTGGCGAAACGCCACCCGATGAAGCAAGCCTGACCAACCTGAATTTGTCTCATGCGGCGTGCGGCAGGCAGCCGTGAAACCTAGGAGGGGAGAGGAGGAAGAGGAAGAGGAGGAGGAAGAGGAGGAGGAGGAGGACGGCGAGGGAGGCTGGGCAGCGTGGTTGCCAAAATTGGCTATCACGCGCGTCATCTTCTTGACACGCTGGCAGAGGCCAGAAGTAAAAAAACACCGGCGACAAGAGGCGGAGGGCGAGGAGGAGAGAAAGGGGGAACGGCAGACGGGACAACGCCGTTGTGAGCGCACCCCGATGGGCCAAACGACCATGCATATACCAAGGCACGGCACCTCGTCGAACAAAATGTAACCGCCACAGAAGTAATCTTTTTTGGTATTCCGCCGCACAAAGAATCTTTCTGGTATCAGCCACAGAAGAACTCTTTTGAAATCCTCCACGGAAAGCTCCAGAGGGCCTAGGGAGGTACCAACCCCAAAAGAGAAAGGGGGTGAGGGAACTGGGCCGGAACTGCGAGAGAAGATTTCAATAGAATTCGTTTTTTGTGGTGGATTTCAATACGGCTCCTTTTGTAAAAGGATGTCAACCGGATTCTTTTTGTACAAGGACTTCCATGGAATTCCTTGTGTTGAAAATTTCAATTGAATTTCTTTGTGCCTGGCTCAGGCGGAGTCGGGTGGGGGCCTGGCCAACGCCAAAAAAACAAAAAGGCAAAACAAGAGGCAATTGGGGGGACCAAAAACGCTGTTTTTAATTGTGAGTTGGTTTTCGCCGGAAAACCCAAAAAGGCAACCTGGAAGCAGAAAAAAACCTGAGTTTTTCCAGTGTTTGCAAATTTACAAGTTGATCCTTATTGTGCGGCATTCAAATGAAACCTTTCTGCGGGGATCTACAAGTTGATTTCTATGGACAACTAGAAATCCGTTTGTGCATGCTTACAAATAAATTCGTTGAGCCAGGCTCAGAAGGACTTTATGGGAATACCGCTTCGAGGTTGCCTTTTGCTCGAGGTTGCCTGTATGGGAATACTCAGAAAAACATGTGTTCTTTGCTTCGAGGTTGCCTTTTTTTTGCGTTTTGGGTTTTCAAACGAAAACCAATTTACAATTAAAAACACACAGCCGAGCTCCCCCCCCTTCCGTAGCCAGGCACAAAGGAACTCTATTTTAAGGCCTCACAAGAAAAATCAATGTGTTGGGGGATTCAAAAGGACTCTTTCTGTGGCCACTTAACTAACAACAAGATTCCTTTTGCAAAAGATTACACAAAAAACACTCTCCGCGAGCGTTGTTCCAGGGCAGGGCGTTGTTCCGGGGGTGGGGCTCGCTCTGCAAAGGGGGGGGGGGGACGCCATTCCCGACGCCATTCAGTGCTCGGGAGCGGGGGGGGAAGGTTTGCTCTGGGGGGGACGAGTGCTCGGGAGCCGGGGGGGGGTCGCTCTGCCGGGGGGGGGGGGGGGGGACGCCATGTCCGACGCCAATTCAGTGCTCGGGAGCTGGGGAGGGGGTTCGCTCTGCAGGGGGGGGGGGGGGGGGGGCACGCACTTCCGACGCCCATTCAGTACTCGGGAGCTGGGGGGGGAGGGTTCGCTCTGCAAGAGGGGGGGGGACGAGTGCTCGGGAGCAAAGGAGGGGTTCGCTCTGCAGGGAGCGGGGGGGGGGGACATTCGCGACGCCATTCTTAAAGGAGCCCAGGGGCACACAGTTAAAGAATAAAATGCACGCAAATAACAGGATCCCCCATGTTTTCCAATATTTTTTGGGATTTTCGTCTTCCCCCCACTTCCGTATTTTCGCATATTTTCATTGGAATCGACGATTAATTGTAACAGTGTGTTTTTTCCTTCCCGAATTCAGTGCTCGGGATCCAAGGGGGGGTCGCTCTGCAGGGGGGGGGACGCCATTCCCGATGCCATGCAAAGCTCGGGAGCCGGGTTGGGGGGGATCGCTCTGCAAGGGGGGGGACGAGTGCTCGGGAGCTGGGGCGGGGGTTCGCTCTGCAAGGAGGGGGGGGGATGCCATTCCCGACGCCATTCTTTGCTCGGGAGCGGGGGGGGGTCGCTCTGCAAGCGGAGGGGGGAGGGGGGGGCGCCATTCCGAACGCCATTCAATGCTTGGGAGCCGGGGGGAGAGGGTTCGCTCTGCAGGGGGGGGGGTGGACGACGAGTGCTCGGGAGCAGGGGGGGGGTCGCTCGGGGGCGGGGGGCTTCGCTTCCGACGGTCCCAGAGGCCACCGAGACCGCGTCACGACGGCTGAAGAGGCTCCCAAGACGACCCCGATACGGCCCAAGAGTGCACCCTCCACTTCCTCCTCCTCCTCCTCCTCCTCCTCCTCCTCCTCCTCATGCTCCTTCCTCTCTGCTCCTCCTCCTTCACCTCCCTCCTCCCTCATCCCTCCTTCCCCTCCTCCCCTCCTCCATTCTGCCTCCTCCCTCCTCCCTCCTCCCCCCTACCTCTTGCCGCCTCCGTCCTCCCTCCTCCCTCGTCCTCCCTCCTCCATCCTCTTCCTCCCTCCTCACTGAAGCCAAAAACAGCCCCAGAACGCCCCTTATGAGCTCCACAAGATGTGGAGACGGAATGGGCAGCATATGATGGCCTACCTCTTCCACTTCATCATCTCCATCATAACCGTAGCTATCAACATCCCCACCACTATCACCATGGTCAACGTCATCCTACTCCTCCTCCTCCTCCTCCTCCTCCTCCTCCTCCTCCTCCTCATCATCATCATCATCATCATCATCATCATCATCATCATCATCATCATCATCATCAGCATCATCATCATCAACATCATCAGCATCATAATCAGCAACATTACCATCACCATCGCCGTCCCCACCAACTGCATTATCTTTAGTACCCTGAGAATTCTAATTACCAACATCAACACCAACGTTATTATTATCATCGGCATCGTTGTGGACACACCGCTATCATCATCACAACCACCATCATCATCACCAGCATCACAATCCTGATTATCGTCGTCGTCATCACTATCTTCATGTTATTCACCATGTCCATTACCATGATAAACATTATCCATCATCATCATCATCATCATCATCATCATCATCATCATCATCATCATCATCATCATCATCATCATTCTCCAAAGCGCCCCGGATCGGCGGCACTGTCCGGAGGCCAGCACAATATTACGCATCGCGTGAGGCCTCCAGGATTTTCCTCGTGACACGGATTATTCGGCGGCGAGCGAGGGGGGGAAGTGAGGAGGAGAGGGCCTTCTCAGACTCGGAAGACGTCGTCTGGGTTTCGGGGTGAATGATGGGGCGCTTCTGCATCTAATCCACCTCGGAGCAGGTGGCCACGACGGGGAGATGCGGTGGAGAGCTCCGAAAGCCACGCACTGAAACATCAACATGTCTGGGGAAGCCGAAAGGTACCGATACCGCTACCGCCCAGACCGTCCCCGGGGTACATTCTGACCAGAATTTCGAGGCGAATCCAGCGGTGGCGAAGAGGGCCTTCCAGGAGGCCCAGACAGGGCAAACGGCCGAAGGGTAGAGGTATGGGTACCGTCCTCGGGTCATGGATATGGGTCTTCATCCTCCTCGTCCCTTGGGTCCTCCCTATCCCCTCTCATCATCTGCCTCTGCTGGCTGCAACCCGCGCTGCTGACTCCAAGTCGGCCCCAACCCCAATTGGCCCACGCGTCCGGAGAGAGAGAAGCGACGAGCACCGCCACGAACGCGTCGTAGTCGATCTCGCCCACGCCTGCCACAGAAAGGGAGGCGGGGGGAATGGTAGGACACGGTGACTACATGCCAAGCCACCCCAACCCAACCCGAAGACCCGAGTTTCGGTTTGGGGGGGGGTACAGGGCAGTTTTTAATACATAGGATCTTAAACATATGGGACTTTTAATCCATGATTAATGTATGAATAACTGTATGCATGAACTAATCTTTGCTTTTATTGCTAAATCCCTGGATTCTTAATACATGATCCGCACGCGGAGCATGTATTAAAAACGGCACTGTACGGGTTACATATGTATTTGTTCAATGGTCCTCGACCCCCCCCCACTGGAAAAGGACGGCAAAATGAGGTCTTCGGGTTGGGTTGGGGTGGTTTGGTGGGTGGTGATTCGGGGAGGAAGGACGAGGGCAGGGGATCACCGTCCAACTTGCCAGATCTGCGAGCGGGCCGCCACTGAACACCTCGGGTGAGTCGTGGCGGAGCCAAGGGACTGCCAGTGGGGGACACCGCCTGCTTGGGTTCGGTCGGGCGTTCTCTCCTATAGGCGGATTTTGGACGAAAAATCAAAAATCGAAGCATACTCCCAAACAGTCAAAAATAGTCAAGAGATCGTCCTCAGAGTATATTTTTGACTATTTTTGACTACTCCTCCTGTAGAGGGACAGGTCCGACTTCATGCTCGGGGCGCAGCACCGCGAGGAGGGCGAGGCCCACGTCGAAAGCGCGCGGGGACGAGCCGCTGGCCGCCGTTGTCCGCGCAGAGAGCGGCCCGACGAGCGACACCTCGGAAGGAAGGGGGGGGACCCACGGTGCGGAAGCCGTGAGGCGAGTCGCTGGCCGCCGTGGCGGGGCCTTGGGCGCAGGAGCGGCTCGTGGGCACGAGGGCTGGCTCCACGCTAAGGCCACCGCGGCCAAGCGGGAGCCTGGGCGCGCTGCGTCGAGGGGGGCGCGCCGGCCGCCCTCCCCCCCCCCTCTCCCTCCGTCCTGGGCGCCCCCTTCAGCCCAGCACCATGCAGCCGGTCGTTCTGACCTACGGGGCGCCAACACGAGGAAAAACGAGCCCCGCCTTGGTGCGCCCGGGTGCACACGAGGAGCGACAGGAGGAAAAGCCATGGAAGGACCCAAGGAAGAGCGAGCCCTTTTCGAGGATCCAGGATCGAGGTTCGAGGATCGAGGTTCGAGGATCGAGGGTCGAGGATCGAGAATCAAACCCAAACTGGTCCTTATCTCAGCGGGGCGCCCTTGCGCATCGCGGGAAGGGGGCTGAGGAGGCGACGGAGGCGCCCCGCCGAGCGCCGAGCGACTCTCCGAGCACCCCAACTGTTCGGGCGCGCTTGCCCAGGCGGTCTGGCCAGGGGTGTTCGGCGGTGCAGCGGGTCTTCTGGCGGGGAGGGGAGCGGGCGAGGGCTCTCGATCCATCGCTCTCACCCACGACGCGCACTGCCACCTCCAAACTGCCGCGGCCGCGAGCTGCCAGGCAGTGCGGCAGACCTCCGAAAGGCCCCAAGCACACCCTCAAAGACTTGAGCATCACGTCTTGGCGTCTCCAGAGCCTCT